CAGTACCTTCTACAGGAAGCTTTAAGAAAAACAAAAAGGGGCCAGGCACGGTGGCTCATGCCTGTAATCCTAGCACTCTGGGAGGCTCAGGTGGGAGGACTGCTTGAGGCCAGAAGTTCAAGACCAGCCTGAGCAAGAGTGAGACCCCGTTCCTACTAAAAATAGAAAGAAATTAGCTGGACAACTAAAAACATGTAGAAAAAATTGGCCGGGCATGGTGGTGCATGCCTGTAGTCCCAGCTACTTGGGAGGCTGAGGCAGGATTGCTTGAGACCAGGAGTTTGAGGTTGCTATTAGCTAGGCTGACACCACGGCATTCTAGCCTGGGCAAGAGTGAAACTCTGTCTCAAAAAAACAAAAACAAAGCCGGGCGTGTTGGCTCACGCCTGTAATCCTAGCACTCTGGGAGGCTGAGGCGGGCTGATTGCTCGAGGTCAGGAGTTCGAAACCAGCCTGAGCAAGAGCAAGACCCCGTCTCTACTATAAATAGAAAGAAATTAATTGGCCAACTAATATATATATAAAATTAGCCAGGCATGGTAGCACATGCCTGTAGTCCCAGCTACTCAGGAGGCTGAGGCAGAAGGATTGCTTGAGCCCAGGATTTGAGGTTGCTGTGAGCTAGGCTGACGCCACAGCACTCACTCTAGCCTGGTCAACAAGTGAGACTCTGTCTCAAAAAAAAACAAAAACAAAAAAACAACAAAAAAAGTAAATTTACCTTAAACTACCCCCAATCCCTTGAATTCCTTCAGAAATTTTCAATTCATCTCCAAATCCAGAGTCCACTGCACTATTTCCCAGAGAAGATTCCACAGAATTTCAAGATGCTTCTTAATAGTTCTGCGGCCAAAAAGGTTTGAAAAGTCCAGTACTTGCTCTTGGAAAGTCATAATGCATATGAGCATAGTAAAGACTTGGAGAAGTCCTGCAATAAATAAACCTACTTCCTTTTACCATGGAATTATTTTTTTGGTATAAAACCTGTAAGTACCTCGCTTAAGAACTTCTCCAGAACCACTAAATGGAGAGATACTCTGACATTGAAGAGTTAAGATATGAAAACTAGGTTTGTGAACTGCCAAGGTGAGGTAAACAAATGAAATACAGAAGCTGAAGATGCAAAAAGGTGGCAATGTGTAATCAGTAGTCCCACAGTATCTCCAAAGTGGAGATAGTGCAATGGCTTGGCCCTGCACTACCTTGAAGAGGCATCTCAATTAACAGCCTAGCTTCTGCCACCCACCTACAAAATCAGACAATATTTAGAAGGCTTTGGGTTCAGCAGGTAACAGCAGGCACCATCCTATTTCCATGGACTGGACCCGAGGTCCTTCCACATTTACTGATGCACCCTATCCCTCTCCACTCCAGTACTTATTCCCTGAAACGAGCTGTTTCACCAGTTCTTATGAATCCCACCATTTATGCCTGTGACACTCTCAAAGCTGAGACTCATTTTCCATTTTGCTTCATCCCCCCCCCCCATCTCATAGTTCTGTTTTTGAGATTAACATATATATGGGTACAGTGCTATGATTAGATAGCAGCTGCCAATAATCCCAGCTACTTAAAAGGCTGAGAAGGAGGATTGCTTTACCCCAGGAGTTCTAATCCAAGTTGGGCAACATAACAAGATCCCAAGTATTTGATATATTTAAACTCATTTAATCCTTACAACAATGAAATCAGTATTACTATTTTCCTTTTTTCATGGATGGATGAGTATACTAAAGCAGACAGAAGTCAAATAATTTGCCCAAAGTTACACAAGTATTAAGTGAAAGTATTAATTATTAAGATCCAAACCTAGGCTCCAGAGCTCAAGCTTGTAATTACTCCTCTAATTCACACTTATTCAGTTTTGTCAACTGTCTATTGGTCAAGTTCTAGTAGTCTCTCCCTCATTGTTTCAAGAGGGAAAAACTAACGAACTGATTATTGCAAGCATTCCCAAGAGGTCCATTTTGAAGCCCAACCTGACAGAACATGACCAATAGACTTGATCAAGCCCTTCCCTGTGATCCTGTTGCACGGCCAGGGCACACCCAAGCTATGGCAGCATAGGAAGCCTACGGGAGCTGAAGACCTATTTTAAGTTAAAAATAGGTTCACTGGAAAAGGCTGAGAATCCTTGGCCTACAGGTGCGGTGGCTCACACCTGCAACCCTAGCACTCTGAGAGGCCGAGTTCAAGACCAGCCTGAACAAGAATGAGACCCCATCTCTATAAAAAAACAGAAAAATTAGGCAGGTATAGTAGTGCAGGCCTACAGTCCCAGCTACTCAGGAGGCTGAGGCAGAAGGATCCCTTGAGCCCCGGAGTCTGAGGTTGCAGTGAGCTATGATCAAGCCAGTGCACTCTATCCAGGGCAACAGAGAGAAACTGTTTCCAAAAAATAAAATAAAAATTAAAAATTGATCCTAGCATTCTGGGAGGCCGAGGCAGGCGGATTGCTCGAGGTCAGGAGTTTGAAACCAGCCTGAGCAAGAGCAAGACCCTGTCTCTACTATTAATAGAAAGAAATTAATTGGCCAACTAATATATAGAGAAAAAATTAGCTGGGCATGGTGATGCATGCTTGTAGTCCCAGCTACTCGGGAGGCTGAGGCAGCAGGACTGCTTGAGCCCAGGAGTTTGAGGTTGCTGTGAGCTAGGATGATGCCATGGCACTCACTCTAGCCTGGGCAACAAAGTGAGACTGTGTCTCAAAAAACAAAAAACCACTATGTAATCCTAAGCAAAAAGCTCATCTTCCATATTCAATGTGCCAAATAAGGTTTTTAAAAGCCTCTTCATCACTGGCTTTAGATAGCAGGTGTATATTATCAGAAAAGAATATAAAGAGTCAGCTCTCGGGTTAGAACATCAAAGTTCAAATTCTAGCTCCGTCATTTATTAGCTGTGTGACCTTATGCAAGTTACTGAATCTGTGATTATAAGTTTTTCCTCCTCTATAAAATGGAAATATTTTAATAAATGGAATCATAGTACTTACCTCACTAGATTGTTATAGACAGTAAATGAGATAAGACACAAAGTACTCAGTAAAGTACCTGGCATAGAATAGACCAGTAAATAAATGTTAGCTATTAATATTGTATACACCTCTCTAAAATTAAAGAAATTCCTCTGGGTGGCTTCAAAATAAAAAGTGCTTGATGGAGAGGGGGATAACAAAGATTATGTAATCTTTTTAGACAGCAACTGAAACAGATTGTCCTATGCAGAAAATGGGGCACATGGCATGTGGGAAATGGGGTACCTGGCAGAATTACCACAATGCCCATGAACTTTCCACACCCCATCCACAAACTTTGGTAATCTTCACCTTCTCTCCTGGACCAAAGATCTGAACTCTTACTTGTTTTGAAAAGGTGGAGCTCAATATCAAGGTAAGCATTGAGATATAAAATCACAATGCAAAGGTGTGGAAAAATATCAAGCTAACAAACCTGCCTACTGCCATTTCCAAATTTTGCGACCAACAAAACACATACACAAAAGGCTGAAAACTGAATTTCAATGACAGCTTGCCATTCTATTACTGAATATAATACAAAACCATAGATTCCATGCAGGGGGCACAAAGGTAGAACATATCTGGTTCATGGCAAATATCTGTACATCAATATTCCCATCTCATATAATACTATTAAACTGAGCAGACTGAGAAAGACCTAGTATAATTTGTGAACTTAAACACCCTATACTCATTTTTTAAAAATTGGTATGTATTAACAACAATCTCTCCATTTCTGGCCAGAGTGAGTAAATCTAAATTAGTGCTATCCAAAAAGGGCAAGTCTGCAAAGGCTGGCTCAGGAGCCTCCTAATTCATTAGACTGGCCTGGATCTAGACTCAACTGGTCAGGAGACTGCTTCAACATGGGAACAGTGAGAAGGCACTTTGGAGTCTTGATGCTGTTACACAGATACAGAGAACTTCAGAATTACGCTGTACCTCACAAATCCCAAGTACTAAGTATGTATATTTTCTTAACATTCTCAAAACAACTCCAAGAGCATGGGTAGCACAGTCATATCTTATTGATCCTTGGCAAACAAAACCCAGTGCAGATAATTTACATTCTTGGAGGATCTGCCCAGCCGGTCTGTTCCCAATATCCAGGAAGATTCAGGCCACAACTTAAAGAGCAAGGAGAAGCCCTGAGGTACAGACTGACGATATGAGTTCTAGCCACTTTCAGGGAAAGGATTGATTGTTTCCATTGGTTTATTTCTGGTTTTCTGGAAAAAAAAAATCTTTCCTCCACTAAATACTTTGAAAAGTAGGACGCCTAATTGTGGAGGGCAGTCTTCTGGACACTAAGATCTGCTGGACACAGCCAGGCAACTTATTCTGGGCTGATCATAGAAGGCTTTTTTCTATCACCAAGGCACTTTGTTCACCACCTTCGTTCTCCAAGGGGGGAGAGGATGGTAAAAGTATTTTGGAAAAATGCCCAAGAAAGGAAAAAGCTGACCAGTTTCCTGAGGGTGTCTCCATCCCTCCCGGCCAGTATGTGGTGACTTCCTACCAAAGGCCAAACCCGGCTCTCCAACACCGCAGGAAATGTTTCAAACCTAAAAGCCACTTGTAGGATTATCGGATTCATTCTGGGCACCGCTGCCAAGTGATGCCCCCGCAGTGCCATCATCTCCCTCAGCTCTTTGTCCCCACGTTGCCTTGCCCTGCCCTGCCCTACCCTTGTGCCTGGGCCGGGCACTAGCCCCACCCTGGGGCCGAAGCAGTTCCCCTTCCCCTGGGCTGTCCTCCCAAGGCACACCCAGAGGCCTCGGTCAGCGACTCCTCCTCCCCCACACACTCCTGCTCATCGGTGTTAACAAGCCCGAGCAGCAGGCTGCCCCCGGCCACGGTCACTCCAGCCTTCTGCCCACATCCCTCGTGGTGGTCAGCTCTCGAGGAGCAGCCGGCCAGGGTGGGAGTTCCGCGGCCCTCACCCCGCCCAGGGCCTCCCGTCCCGTCAGTCCCTCACCGGGCGGAGGCTGGGCGGGCGACGGGGGCACCGGCGGGCGCGGGCCGCTGCTGTTGATGATGTAGTGGGAGACGCGCGAGTTCTCGGAGACGCTGAGCACATAGTCCCCGGGGCTGGTGCTCGAGTCCCGCACCAGGAACACCCCGTGCCGCTGGCCCTGCAACAGCACCACCGCCTCCTGCCGGCTCAACCGCCCCCAGTACCAGCTACTCCGCTCCTCCGAATCGAAGTTGCCCGCCATGGCCGCCTCTGCGCCTACACGCTGGGCCGCCGCCGCCGCGCGCGCCCCTCCAGCCCCGGCGCCCGCCGCCCAGCGGACCGGCTCCGGTCTCAGCCTCACGGCAGTGCCCGAAATGGCGGCGGCGGCCGCGGGCCTTCCCCACCGGAAATGACGCACTCCCTGCCCGAGGGAGGCTGCCGGGAAGGGGACCACAGCCCGCCATTGGGAGAAGGGCAAAGTAGCCCTTGTGCGCGTACTGCGCATGCGGCCTCATGGGCGTCGCCGCCTGGCCCCGACTGGGACTGCAGAGGATGGGAAGGCGGAGCCTAGGGCAAAGGGGCAGGGCGTCAGCCCGCAGTCCGCAGAGATTTGCGTTTGCGCCCCTGGCCTGTAGTATTTCTCTCCACCAGGCTTCAAGTTCTTGGAGGGCCCAGAACTTCTAGGCAGCGGACTAATAGAATTGGAATAGAAAAGATGGATGTGGCCCCAGGGCCTGAGTTCTCAGCAAGGTGCCCTGAGACGTCATTATTTTTCTGCTCCTTCCTCCCTCTTCTCCACTGACCGGCTAAAGTTCTTGTTTTCTTTGATTCATTCAGCTAGCAGTCACTGACTCCTCCCTTGCCTTGTGAGTGCAAAGATGATCAAGGCCGGGCCTTGCTCTCACTGCAGTCAGACCAGTGGGAGGAACCAGTAAAGAGTCAATGGCAAAGCAGTGACAAATACTGTGATGGGAAGTGGACAAGGACACACAGTAGAGCCCCCTGATCCAGTCTGTAGAGGAACCTAAGAGGGCTTAGATTGAATATTGAATGGCATGTGGGGAAGAGCATTCATGCAAAGGGAACAGAGTGTGCCAAGCCAGGCAGAAGTATGGAGTTCTCTTCTCTCTATTGAGGCTTTCAAGTCATCTGCTAAACCCTAAATTGTGACCATGGGTATCTCCTACTCTCACTGCCTTCGTGATCACCTCTAGACTATTCCTGTGAACAGTCTGCTTGCTCCTGCTCTAGTCTGGCTGCCCCTAATTACACTGCAAACAGATGCCAGTGTGAGTTTTCTAAAATGCAAATCTGAGTCTGTTGCAATGATGTATAAAACTTTTAACAGTTTTCAGGTGCTAGAACTCCCGGTTTAGCTCACAGCAGAAAACTGGGCCACAGTCTCTTTTTTCTTCTTTTTTAGTAATAATAAAAAAAAAAAAACTTTTCCAGGCTTGACTCTACCTCCTGGGCTCAAGGGATCCTCCTACCTCAGCCTCCCAAGAGTAGCTGGACCTACAAGCACAAGCCACTGGCTCCACAGTCTCATCCTGTATTTCTTCTTCCTAGAATGTTCTTTCCCCCTGGGGATCCCAAACTCAAATGTCTTCCCTTTCCTGACCACCTCATTACCTTTCTGCATCAACAGCACTGTGTCCATATTATTCCTATTGTAGCTCTTCCCATTGTACTGTAATTTTTCAATTACAAGTCTATGTCCATGCTAGAGTTACTCAAAGTCTAGCCTAGGGGGTACTCCACATGCTAGGGGCAGCCAAATAAGAGCATAATAAGGCCAGGCACAGTGGCTCACGCCTGTAATTCTAGCACTCTGGGAGGCTGAGGTGGGAGGATTGAGGTCAGGTTTAAGACCAGCTTGAGCAAAATTGAGACCCCGTCTCTACTAAAAATGGAAAAAATTAGCCGAGCAACTAAAAATAGACACAAAAAATTAGCCAGGCATGGTGGCACACACCTGTAGTCCCAGTCCCAGCTACTTGGGAGGCTGAGGCAGGAGGATTGCTTGAACCCAGGAGTTTGAAGTTGTTGTGAGCAAAGCTGACATTACGGCACTCCTCCCAGGGTGACTGAGCAAGACTCTGTCTCAGAAAAATAAAAGAATATAATAAGAGCTATTATTTATGCAGGATTGCTACCTGCCAGGCATGTTGCTGACTGCATTTATATATGGATAATCTCATGGAATCCTCACAACAAACTTATGAGCCAGTATATTACAACTATGCCCATTTTACAGATGAGAACACGAAAGCTGAGAATTTAAATAACTTGTCCAGAGATATTCAGCAGCTGAGTGAGAAAATGGGATTCAAATCCAGAAGGAGAGAGCTATGGTCACTTAGCTATATCCTCACATTTCTGGGATAGGAATTGGGAGAGGAGATGGCAGAAATCTGCATTTAAAAAAAATCATCCAGCTCTGGATTATGGTCTAATGAACAGCAAAGCTCTTTTGCACCCACCTCATACATCCTTGGGCTGCTCTGGGAAGGGGGGATGGGGACAAGGGCACCTTCCCTGCTGTGAGTGACTCATCGTGACCCTGGCTTAGTCACTGCCTGCCACCAAGAGCCAGCAGCAGAAGCCATCCCAGTGTGAATCCCCGCCCTTTGGGAAAGAGGAGTGCCTGCTCTTCCTGTCCCAGGATGGCAGGGCTTTGAGACAGGGCCTCACCCAGAGACTGCCTGTGAGGTTCCAAAGCCGAACCTCCAACCCTTCTCCCTAGGGCACGTGGAAATGACAGGAAAAAAATATTTTAAAAAGAAGAGGAAGGAGCCAGGCGTGGTGGCTCGCGCCTGTGATCCAGCTACTTGGAGGCTCAGACAGGAGGATCGTTTAAGCCCAGGAATTCAACACCAGCCTGGGCAACATAGTGAGATCGAGTCTCTCTGTCTCTCTGTTTTTTTTAATTTTTAATTTTTTTTCCTTGTCAAAGCAGACTTCAGAGGGGCGACAGCGGCCCAGCCCCGCGCGGCCGCCCCTCCCCCCTCCGCCCAGCCCCCCGCCCCCCGCGCCCCGAGGCGGTGGCTGCACCGGCGGCGCCCCGCCCCCGTCTCTTTGAAATAAAAAAGAAAAGAAGAAGAAAAAGAAAAGGAGAAGAAATCATGACTGAGCTGGAAAATAAGCAAGGAGATTGGCAGGAAGGGGAGACCCAGCCGCGGGCAGCCGCTCTAGCGCGTCCCTCCTGAGAGCACCGGGCGTCCACAAACCCAGAGGCCACCAAGGCCGCGACCCGGGAGGCCTCGGGCCGGGAGTCGCCAGCCGCACCTTGCCCCGCCCTCCTTTCTTTTCTGCGCCTCCTCCCTGCCCTTCCCTGGTCGGCTTTGCAGCTACCACGGTGGCTCTTGATCCCCCCGTTAAGCCTGGGACCTGCCCTACACAGTGACGGACCTCCAGTCTCTGGGAAGCTTCTGGAGTGTTTGGGATGGGGGTGGGAAGCAGGGCGGAGAGAAGGGAGGCACCTGAGGGAGAAGCGGATCCATTCGAAAGGGGGAAAAAATGGAGGGCTGCCCTGTCCGAGAGGAAAATACCACTCCCTGCTCCCTGCTCTCCTGACCAAAGAAACGCGTTCCTTAATTTTAGCCATGGAGGAGACGCCCGAGGTCAATAACCCGCTTGCCTGCCTGTTCTGTGCCCCCTATCAGGACCAGAGCGGCGTCTTGCAGCTAGGTACTGCCTATCTTCAGGGTACTATGTAAATGGAATGTTCTGGAATGGGGCTACTTAGTCCCACTTTTCCTTTAAACAAAAAAGTAAGCAGAAAGAAGATTATTTATATCAAGATGACAAAAACTGCTATTTAAAGAGAAAACTGACAGTGTCACCTTCCAAAGTGTGTGTGAAAGAGAAAGAAAAGGTGGGGAGTGTGCGCGGGCACAATTTGTCTTAGTGGGAAGATGCACTTCTGCCTGTTCTCAAGCTCCTATGGAGACAGGGAAATGTCGAGGTCTCTGATGGAGTTTCTGGACTATGAAAAAGGGCTGCCCCAGCCCCCAACAGGTTGCCCTTCATTTTGCAGAGACAAGGACCAGTCTTAAAATGTGCAAAGGGAGGGTCTGAAAGTAGACACCAGGGGAAAGCTGGGGTGGAGGGATGTGAGGGGACTCCAAAGAGGGTCTTGGGGTGGAGAGAGGGCACTAGGAAAGGAGGCAAGGGTCCAGACCTTTCTAGAAAGGCCATTGAGATGTTCCCAGTGGTGACATGGTTATAGGACCGAGAATGGGTTATTTGCTTTGCTGTGGTGTAAACCCCCCTCATTTCCTCATTGCTCTTTTTAGGAAAGCTGCTCACACAAATGCCTTTTGGGGGGCGGAATCAGGGAGAAAGTGCCAATATCCTTGTCCCTGTCCTCATGGAGCCAAGAAAATTCGAGAACATCTGAAGGAGGTAAGAGACAAGTGCGCCATCTTCTCTTCTCCACCTGCTCACTCATCTCCAGCCCCACTGACCTTCCTACTTGTCCTTTAATAAGCCCTCACGTTCTTCAAGGGCTTCGGGCTTCCTGTGCCCTCTGCCTAGACCACTCCTGTTCCAGAGGTTCCATGGTCACCTCCCCTCCTCCTTCAGGTCTCTGTCCCAGTGTTGCCTCCTCAGTGAGGCCTTCTCTGACCAGCTCGTTTGAAACTGCAAACCACACATCAACATTCCCTCTCCTCTTCTCTGCTTTATTTAGTTTCCTAGCACTTATCTCCTTCTAATATGTTATATCTTTTGTTTATTTATGTGTCGTCTCTCTTCCCCTCTGGAATGTAAACTCCATGAATGTTGTTCCTGCTATGTCCCAAATCCCAAGCAGAGGTCTGAGCACATAGTAGGCATTCAATTCAGTAAATGTTGGTTGCATGAAGGAATAAATGAATGGAGAGTCTGGTGGAAGCTCTTGTCCAGAGCCAAAATTAACTTCTTATAACTGGCAGATATGTCCTGGAGGGCATTGGACTTCCGTCAGGATGTGAGCTTGGGGCACAAACCATTCTTGGTTACCTCTCAAAAGGACAGAGCAAGCTCAGCTGACATCTGGGTTATGTCTGTGACATCACTGTCACACGTGTTCCAATGTGCTAGGGAGAGGAGTGTTGTTACAGTTATAAAGCTGGTAATTGCACCTAACACAATGCTTATCTTATCTATTCTTGGAGCCACTGTTACACTGATAGTGTGGACAAATGACTGTGGTGCTTTCATCCTTCTGTAAACCAATCTTGGGGGGAGGTATCAAAATCTAGGTGTTCTCCTAGGATAGTGTCAAGCCCCAGATACTCATATATTGCATGGTGTCTCACTCTTTGAGAATTTCTGCCCAGGGTCACAGATCTAAACTCCTCAGACAGGTAGCCTGAAACCAAACTAAACCTTTCCTTGCCTCTGAGCCCCGCGTGCACCATTCCTTCCTTCCACAATGCACCTCCCTCTCGGGAAACTCATAGCCGTGTGCAGAGGAGCTCTGTGGTTGCAGCAGTCATCCCCCTGCTT